AACAAGTAAAGCGCAACGAATCCTTGGCCGCGGGGGGAAAATTTTAAAAATTAAAGCCAAATATTTATACAAGATTTATTTAAGGTGAAAGCGTCTTTATAGGTTCGTACTGTACCTACTCGGTGAGAGAAGCAAAAAAATGCTTAACCAACATAGAACATAAAATCAATACTTTCGGTATAAAATATAATTTTGCATGGATTTCTCGTGTGCAATATATACGTAAATAATATGGTTGAATTGCGGCAAATAATGGAAATTATATAGATATCTGGGGGTTAACTGATGTTTGATCGACAATCTTTTGGACAATATATTTTTTCGATGTTAAAATGTTTTGACGAAATATCATTAAATGAGTGTCATATATAACACTTACCTTAACTAGGATCCATCACATTTATTATTTCATTATTTGTCTGAAGAAATTTTCACTAATCTGTTGGTCATTTTATAACTATATCTATCACGACGAGTTTCAAGTATCCGTTTTTCTTTATACGTTATTTAAAATTTTTCCAAATCACTTTCAAAACATTTCTGGATCCTTTAATTTCATTTAACGCGTTGCTAAAGGATAAAGAAAGAAAGAAAGAAGGAAAAGAAATAATAATCTAAGCCACTCGCTCAACCGCAGAATTATATTTCACTTCTAAAGAATCGATTTTAGGTTTCATGTTGGTTAACTATTTTTTATCCTTGTTAGAGAGTTATATAAGCTCGCAAAGTCTTTTAACATTGTGTATACCTACACAGTTTGCATTTAAAATTGCAAAACAATGCGTGTGTCACGCTGCAGAAAAACAGATCTCCGCAATCGGCGATCCATTAACGATGCAAATCGATTTGCCTGCATGGTTAATTAGATATAGGTGGGTATACATTTTGCACGTGGCGCGTATTAACGACGGAGAGAATTAATTAAAAACGACGGTTATATAGTTATACACGCACAGAATGAACTCTCTTTGCAATATAAACTATGCGCGGTGCTTTATCATCCCGCACACAGGGCAACAGGCAACCGCACCGCAATCGTGTGCCTTACGCGTGAAAAAAAGCGAAACTTTCGCGTTGTAAGGGAGTAAAATACGCGGTAGATCGTAACAGCTATGATTCAATATTTTTATCCAAGTACACCGAGAAATTTCTCGCCAATGAAACTTCGTCCACTAATACCCCCACTGAGCCTTTCCCTTCAACCTTCGTGAGAAGAATTCCCCAGATTCGCCGAACGAATCAACGCAACAATCTGTCTGCTACGATCTTTGGTCATCGAATCAATTCGGAACTTTTTGCATTTTTCTTTTAACAAAAATTAACAATCGTGTTTCATTTCATAATAATTAAGATTTTTGCAATTAAATGTAAATGGAAACAGGAGAGTGATCGGCAAGGGAATATTAAGTAAATAATTTGCAATATTTCTTCTTTAAAACATTATACAATTAAAATTATACGATAATTCTAAATTTTCTATTTCTTTTTTTTTTTAAATAAAAGTAAAATTAAAAGATTATAATTGCTTTGGTAATTGAAATGTGTTGTATACACATTTTAACATTATTAATAATTTTTATTTCTTTCTTTGTATTGATTAGAACACATATTCTCTTCAAAATAAAGATCGTGATGCTCGTAATAAAATATTTAAACATCAGTGGAAATAAAACTTATTTTAATTTCGTGTAATATACGTCTAATATTTTAAATTATCTTCACTTTAATCCACTTGAGAATTATAATGAAATTGATTGAAGTACGTAATTGAAAGATCGACATATTTGTAACACCCGGAAGTTATCTTCAAGTTAATTAATGACTAGTAAAGGTTAAATGATACATTGAATGGCCATGTGCATGTATAATTTGACCAGTTAAGGATAATTTAATATAATTTAATTTATAACTTATTTCTCGCGTTGTATTTAAGGAAATGAAATTAGAGATCATTCGCGCATTAATACGAATAAGTTGATAAATTATGAATCGTTACAAATGTTTTTTTTCTTCTTAATTTTACAATTATAAAATTACGTAAAATCATTTTTATTACCAAACTTGTTACGTAAAAGAATTTATCGTAACTTGTGACTTATGACTTGCAAAATTTTATTAATAAAATCAGCACAATTGTACAAGAAACCCCAGGTGCTGTGTGTAACAACATTTCTAGTTGTAATTTCAAAATTACAAACTATAATGAAACGACATATTATGATTCATTTATCATATATCAAAATATAATTCTCTTTCCTTATTTCTAATTGATATTTCTTAAATATGTTATTAACTACATATTTATATTAAGAATTATCATATTGATGAAATTGGTAAATGAATTATCGTTTTTTCTCAAAGATTTACCTTCAATTTTTTTTTTTAATTGTTTTATATTAAATTGTACAATAGTTCGACATTTTAAATCATTATATCAATCCTTCTCAACAAATCTTTACAATTCGTTGGAATAATTTTTACACGATTTTAAAAGTAGAGCGAGTAAATTTTCTTCTGAATAAATTTTTTTCAATTCAAGATCCCAAATCCTTGTTTAGAAAAACACTGCTCTTTTTCTGGTTCGTTGAGAAGAAATCTGTTCCATGGTGTTGACGATTAATGGTAGTTCACGCCCAAAAATAAGTCTCATAAAGAAAAAAACATTGTCCAAATTTTCACACTGTCGTTACTTCCAAGATCCTTTTTTTCCATTAACGTACCATTCTATAGATCATTTTCGCCACAATTGTATCTCTTCCATTGTTAAATAGTTTCCATGGTTCCAGGTATGAAATATAAGAAGAATTCAACTTGTCGGTAAATTTTTTTTTTCAAAAGTGAAAATCTTTTTGTTTGTCGTCGAAACGAAAGCGAGATTCGAGATGAAAAGAGACTATATAAGGGGTTAAAGATGTCGTTCCTTTATACGAAGGTCAAGACATTTGTTAGAACCCTATCTATAGTACACGCTAAAAGAGGAAATGGATGGGGGTCAGGCTACCTGACTTTTCCAGAAATTTCATTGTACCGACTATCTAGATATAATAATTTTACTGCACACGTTTATTAGAGAGAGAAAGAGAGTGCCGTAATTTTGTTTAGTTATTGCCGGAAACCTTTTTTCCCTGCACAAAAAGAAACAAGTTCGATTCGACCTCGAGTTGAAAAAAAAGCGAAAACTCGAAGACTTATCCCTTCGAGTCACGATAAGATTTACAACATCGACAAGGAGTAACCAGTTATGGAAGTAGAGCTTATTAGTTGCATTCTCGTTAAAACGAGCAATCTATGAATCGTAAGCGAGTCCTGTATCATTTAGGATCGATCCGCGTGGTTCGCCTCTCTCTAAACGTCCATTCATCCGTTCAATAAAGCCAATTAAATCTTCTTGTCGATAGAATAGCTTTGATTGATACGCGTGGAAAGTTCGTTTCCTAGTAGAGGCCGAAGGAAATGGCAGAGAGAGAGAGAAAGGGATCGAAGTATATATATATATATATGTATATATGGCGAAGGAGCAAAGATTCGCCTTGCGTTTCTTCTTCATGGTCGATCTTTTCTAACCGGGGGGATCGTCCGTGGAAGTGCAGTAAACGGAGCAATCGGATGGACGAAGGAACGGAGAGCGGCGCGAGCGCGTTCGAGGCCGACGAAAACAAGGATCCCGAGGCGACCGGTGTACCCCTCGCTGTTTTTGCTTCGTTGGGTTGACGTTGCGACAAAAAGAAGGAAAAGAAAAGAAAAGAAAAAGAAGGGGATGGGCGACAAGAAGGGAGAGGCGTTGGGACTTGCCTGCTCCGGTTCCCCGGCTACCGTCGTTCGATCCGATGATACGTATCTCTCGACGAGTTGTGCGTGTATACACGAATACACGTCTCTTCCGTTCCGTGTACGTATAATACGTACGTGCGTGTCGACGAGGGATTACACAAACGCAGGCCGCGTATGTATGTATATATATATATGTTTATATACATATATATTAAACGTACGTATAAACGAGCGAAGAAACGCGGTCTCGTAGCAAGGCGCAAGATATACATTAGTGCGTATGAGAGACGTAGTAAGTGGCTGCGTACAGGATACATAAGACTCATCGGTAGATACAGTATATACTATTCGAGTTCACTTTGCTCGGAAACAGTCTACTCGTTCGGTTGGTTGGCACGCTATGCCGACAGGCGTAGCCTTCTCGGAGGTTAGATGCGCGTGATAATGCGATCCACGGCACATCGTATCCTCGAAGAAGCTTGGCGAAGAGAGAGGAGGAGGAGGAGGAGGAGGAGAAGGATGTAGGAAAAGGAAAAGGAAAAGCAGAAGGTAGAGGCGGGAACGGAACGGAACGAAACGGAGCGGAGTTGTGCTCCCGAAGAGGGAGCGAAAGAGTGAGAGAGAGTTGGTAAGGTATATACCCTTGTTCGCGATGGAGTAGTAGGTAGGTATGTACGGTCGGCAAAGTCCGCTCAGTCGGCACGGATAGAATGGCGGGTGTGGTACGTGACTATGCGCGATAGAAGGAGAAGGTCGAAAGAAAGGACAGAGGGGCGGCAGAGCGAAGGGTGGGTGAGTCAGAGAGAAGAGAGAGTAGTAGTAGTAGTAGTAGTAGTAGTAGTGGTGGTGGTAGTGGTAGTAGGAGGGTAGCTAGTGGAAGGAAGAAGCGGCGGAGGGAAGGTGGTGGTTGGGAGAGCAAGAAGAGCTACCGGAGAGCCACGAGAGGATGCGTTGGTTCCGTTATCGACCTGCAGCAGGGCGTGTCTCTCTTCTTCTTTCTCGCTCGCGCGTCCACCCCGGTAACTTTATCCTTCTTCCTCGCCCGCTCCTTTACCATTGGCCCGACGCGACTAGTTCGTTCTTTGTCTGTCATATAGTAGCGCTCGCGGCGCTCCGGCTCTTCCGTCTTCGTCATCGGCCGGCACGGCAGCTCGGGTAGAACCGAGCGTGACGCGAGTCCGACCGATTATGAGCCTTCAAGCACGAGCCTCTAACCCTTCGACCCAATCCCGGCTTCTATCGTCGTCTCTCTTGACTTCTCGATTGCGCCACGCTCGGGCCCTTAGTTATTGGTATTATTATTATTTGCACCTTTCCGCGCGCGTACATCGCACGCTGTGAGAACACCCTCGCATGCTCTCTCCTCTCTCCCGTATTATATACAATGATCGACCAGCCGGCCTCGTTGCACATGGACAGAACGGGACCTCGCGAGGTGGGCGGAGGGGCGGGGAGGGGGAGGGTGGGAAGGGAGGGAGCTCTCTCGAAGCTGCTGGCTTGTAACGAGTTAACGAGTTTAAAGAAATGACTCACTACTCGCCCGTCTACTCGCACAAAGGATAATAAGATGGAACGTGTGACGAATAATCGCTCGTTAGAAGCGGAACGATATGGTCGCGCGCATTCTTCAGTCCGGCATCGTAGATCGATGATGAACGCTGGTATACGCACGCGGTCGTCGGAGAAACGAGCAGAGAGCCGTCGATTCGATAGACGTGAATGCGTGTTCATGCTCTCTGCATGTTTTGTCTAACGTTCCGTTGCACTCTCGTCTCGTTTTTTTTTGTTCCTTCTTTTTTTTTCTTCTTTTTTTTTTTTTCTTTTTTTTACCCCACCCACCCTTTATCTCCCTTTCGTCTTTTTTTTTTCTCTCTGTTCGCCGTTTATTCTTATTGCTCATTTTTCTGTTTTAATAATGGACGTCTCGTTGTGCTTTTAATGCGAGACATTGAAGTCCGACGTATTAACACGCGGCCGCAGTGTCATCCAACAAGTTCGTCATTTTTAATTTCAGCCTTTCAGTTCCCGATCTCGAAAACCACACCCGTTTCTCTCGAGTCTCGTAAACTTTTATCAAAATTATTACAATTATTATCGGTGGGGGCTTGTGCGCGTTGTCCGTTCACAATGGGCTTGCAGAGTGGTTTTTGCAAATGGTGTAATAATGAAGATAACAAGCGAAAACAGAAATGGCGGGTAGTTCTGTGAAATTACGAATAATTAAATTACAACGTCGTTATAATTTCGATTGTTGCTTTGCTCCTTTCATCGAGACTGACGACTATAATTACAATTAGTTTCAAATGTTCAATTACTTTCATGGCGAAATCATCTATATATTTTCTGAACTTTTTCTGAACTCCAAGGTTGCGCAAAGGTGATGCTATTATAAGTCATTCGATTGATCTTGACCGCGATTATTACGCCCCGATGATAAAAATACGTAGTCCCATTTAGGAATTTAAAATCGACAATCTTTTGCCTACTGCAAATTATTCCTTCCTACTCCTGCAAACGAATAATGCTTGTTAAAATTGTTAAATAATAATGTTCTAATTTTTTCTTCGAAATTTTTCTATTAACATTTTTTCATATCATCAGAAATAAGCGAGAAATATCTATTCTATTTAGGTTGGGATGGGATACCTCGCATATTATAACCCTCATCCACCGTTCATTTTCCTAACTTAATTTGTCCCTTAGTATCAAATTGACGTAATGGTAAAAGAATCAATATGGGTAAATAGCTAAATCGTTTTTATTTGAAATACAAAAATGAAATTTTATATCACATATCAAGCGTATTGTCTATAAATAATAAAAAATTACAAAGTTATTCGATAATAGTCACAAAACAAGATTGATTTCTCTTTTAATATATTAACAAACAATTATTATATCGTTCAACATCAAACTAATTTAATTAATTTGAATTTGAGAACAAGTTTTTCGCTTTAATCTATCCAAATTTGACAGCGGTGGGAGAGGTCAAGATGTAATATATGTCCAAACTTTATCGCATTGTTCGATAATAATTTCGCGTATGCAACAAGAGGAAAAGTTGTAACCATTTCGATCGCTAATTTACGAATGTTGCTATTTTTAAAAAAATAGAGCAATTATGATATTAATATATATATATATTTGTATATAAATTAAATTATTAAAATTTACTTCGTATATTAATTTATCCGTAAAATAATATTCAAAAACTATCATATCATCTTTAAAAAAATAGGTTAACGAAGTTAATTTACAGAGAGATTTTTATTCTCTCTTTTATATCAATAAGTGGACGTAAGTGGAATATCGAGATGTTCTGTCAGTTCTATACGATAATTTTCACTATTTTCTATTTTTTTAAAAAGAGCAATTATTCGATGCAATTAATTGAGGAGGTTAGTGGAAAATCGGAGTACATTTCTCTCCAAAAATGAGATAATCCACATTTCACCTATATTATACTATTACGAATTTTCAAAATTTCATGAATATTGCGCGATAATTTGTTTTAATATTCATAACGTAAAAATTTTCCTATTATTTCCTTCAACCTTAATCACAATTCTCTATATCTTTTAATTAAAAAATCGCTTCTATTCTATCGCTTGTACAATTTTTATCATTTTATCATTTGCCTCTTGGTTTTCAAAAATTATCGAGAAATTGGTAATGTAATCGCCAATTTTCAAGATGTTATTATTACAGTAAAAAGAAAATAGGGCAATTATCTGATTAATTATCAAAAAAAATTTGAAAAATTCCCCTTCAAAAATATCGGGGTCAATTAGCTATTATATATTTTATAACTCGGACGGTGACGGGCGAGGAAATCTATCGGTATTTTATTCATTTAATTCTTCGAAAGGGGCTCTTTCATAATGTTTTTTAACTCGAACGTGTAACCTCGAACAGAGTTCCTCGAGCGGAGGAATGAAAGAAAGACAGGCGAAATGGTGTGCGTATTTCTCACGTTCACAATGTAACGTTACCGCCTTCTAACTTTCTACGCGAGTTATGTGGGTAAACTATTACCGAAACAGATAAAACGGGACTAATAAATCCGAGGGCGGGGACCGCGTTAAGCCCGCGTATCGCGAAACGATTTTGCACGTTTGCCCGAAATCGTAAATCGACTTGTGTGTCGTCACCGAATTAAACTCATTTTTAGAGAGAGAGAGAAAGAAAAGAAAAACTTTCAATAGGTTACAGGTAATTCCTTTACAGGTCAAGTTCTGTCTTTAAGTATCGGAGCTAAAGTTTTATGCGTACAGTATCGGAGTAAAGTTTCGTTCCGCGTTTATTAATAATAAATAGCGATTATTGGTTTTTTTAAATCTGTTTAACCTGATGACAGTTTAGTTACTTCTCACTCTAATAAAATTAAATATACATATTTATATAACCACGTCCACGTGAAGGGCTCCTCGAATAATTCACGAGGAAAGAATATTGAAACGAAATTCATTTATTTTTTTTTATTCTCGATGATATAATTCATGCAATCATCGTTTCAAATTAAGTCTTCATAGATCATGAAGTGAATAATAATAAAAAGTGAGCTCTAAAATTACTCGAATCTCGTGTTCATTTCATTTCATGATTTTCAACAACGTTTCCATCTCAAAAAATAATAAATCCAACGTATATCGACCACACTGTGAGATATTTCCAACTAAATATTTCCTTTCCAAACACATTGTACCATTACCGATACAATCGAAGAAAAATCGCGATTAAATTAGAGAAATTCATCGATATCGAGCGGGAAAAGACGCGGCCGCTTTAATACACACGATGTCCACATGCGAGGCGAACGAGACGATGATAAATACCGCCGTATCGCACGAGAGAAAAATTGCCACGAAATTGGCGGGCCCGTTTCCACCCTTCGAAAAATCGTTGCGCGTCCTCCTTGCGGATCCTCCTCCACGTTGGTTCGTTCGTTGGTTCGTTTGTTGGGATGCGCCCTACACAGAGTCCTCCTCGTTTCCTCGTAATTACCGTGCCTCGCATACCAGCGTGCGGCGTTTCTAGGGCGCGCACCAATGCGACACCGGAGACAAGAGCGGAACAATCGTGGAAAGAGGCGGCGGGGGCTAATCGATAAGTACGGTCCTAAACCGAAACTGACAATGAGAGAAGAATGCCGATGTCATTTGTTCGGTTTATAGATGGGTGAATTAAACGATTATGACGGGGGGGGGGGGAGAGAGGGGATAAATTATTATGGGAGGGGATTGGACATGGACATGTTGTACAGCGTTTTCCTAGAATTGGTTTTATATTCGGTAATATTCCCTCCTCTTCGGGGATTCGGATTAATTTTGTATTAAAATTTAAATAAATATTAAACGTCGATCTCGGGGATGATAAGGTTGGAATAATAATTTTCGATCGACGTTTTTCTTCCACGATGACGTGGTTACTTTTTCTTTTCTTTTTTTTTTTTTTTTTCATTCGTTAAACAAAATGAAAAGAGTTATTACTGTAAAATGAAAAGAATGCTAATAGGAAAGACCCCTAATTGGATAGATATTTGCTCTAAGTGATAATAAATTGATGATAATAATTTTCCACGGTTGCTTTTAGAAATTCTTTTTTTTTTTTTTTTTAATTAAATTAAGTTTCTTTTCCTTCAAATAATAATTATTGACGAGGAGGAATGTCGATAAATTCCTTTTTTGAATCTATATAATTTGATTAGAAGGAAAGAGTTTTGGATTCGCTTCTTCTTCTTCTTCTTCCTCTTCTTATTCATTCGAATTCTAAAAAGAATGTTTATCTA